CTCCCCTGCCACAACCTTACAGTCCCCAATCTCTCTCAGGTTTCCTCATCTACACAGAATGTAGTCTACTTGTATTCCTTCCTCTGCTCCTTTAGGTCACTCTATGTTATTCCTCCTTTTGGAAAGATGTGTTGACTACAGTCATTTTCATTCCCTTGGCCAAATCTACCACCATCTGTCCTTCCTGGTTTCTTTCCTAGACACCAAACCTACCCATCACTTCCTCATCCCCTCTGTTTCCTTCACCAACATGTCAATTAATGTCTGCACCAACCACTCTCTTCTCCCTGGGAATATTCTCTATCACTTCATCTACAGTAGATTCTTCCAAAATTTCTCTTTCTCCACCACATCACATCTAACCTGTGAAGCATAACCACTCATGTTTAACATCAGACCTCCTACTTCTATCTTCAGACACATCCCTCTGACACCCTTTTCACCTCTACATTCTTTGCCAACTCCTCCTTCAGGATCACCTACCTGTATACTGCATTTCGCTTTCTATCCACACCATGGTAAAGCAGTTTAAACCCTGCTCCAATGCTGCGAGCCTTGGTCTCTTGGACACATAAAACATCTACCTTCCTTCTCTGCATCATGTCAGCCAGCTCTCTACCTTTGCCTGTCATTGTCTCACATTTAGAGTTGCTACCCTCAGTCCTACATTCTTGACTTTCCTCTTCTCCCTCTGTCTCTTGACATGTTTCCCTCCTCCTGGTCTTCGGCTAACAGTAGCACAATTTCAGCTGGCACCATTTGTCAACAGCACCGGTGGAAATTATTGTTAACCCGGGCCTCGACTGATATGGTATGGTGTCACTTTCGCTTTGATGAATTTGCATTTTTGGCAAAAGAGTTACACGTCGGATGCCCTTCCTGATACAACCCTCACCATTTACCTGGGCTTGGGACTGGCACAAGAGATACACTATGGTTCTTTTTTAAAAGAACCACTGTCCACTGAATTACAATTCAAGATGGTCGCAACAACTCAATGCACTTTGTAGATATTTAGTTGAATTTTGGCGTGGTAGTAGCAGAGAGTCATCCTCATCACATGCTTCAAGCGTCCACAGATAATTCTCATTCAATGATCTAAATATGGAATGACAGGCGGCGGGCGATGTGCATTCCTTCAAAAAAACCACTAAGCCTTTGATGTTAAGGGTGAACTATTTCACACTCCACGTGCAGTTTTTAGCTCCTCACAGATTCTTCCTTGCGTTATAAAATAATCTCGTGCGCGTGTGACAGTCCTCCTCTGTGATGGGAGCTCAGATATGAGCAGTGAGGCAGTGAGGGGGGGTTCACCACCGCCCGCCGCTCCTGCCTGACGTCAGCTGGCTCTCCGCTCCTCCGGACTCAGCGCCGCGTAAAAATGCTGCTCTCCGTGCCGCCAAGGACAGGAATCAGCCCTTACAGCGGCTACACCGGCAAACTCAACAACAGGAAGGTAAAAGTCGCAGCCTGAGCCTGGAGCTTCCAGCTCCGGGACTAAACAAGTCTTTTTATTTAGTTTGTAGGAAGTGGGCTGGAAGCGCCGCTCGGGTGTTTTTAAGCTGCAGTGTCCTTGAAACCGGACCGCGTTACAACTCCCTCTCTCCTTCTCTATGTGTTTGTATGTTTGTCTCTCACGAGCTGCAGTTTGCTTATCCCTCTGTTCCAAACTACAGCAGGGCCTGTTCCATCGCTCCCTGCGGGTTGTTGGTGTTGGTTGTTGGGAGACGCGGCCGCGGCGTCTCTTCCTCCATTCGCAGAGAGAGTTCAGTTTTTACTGATGTCCCTGACGCTCCAAGCCCCTTTCAGCTTCCTGTGCACTTTTATTATGAACTCGAACAGCAACGCGCGTTCTTGTTCGGCGGGTTTTTTATTGAATTTAACAAGTTTGGAGTGTTTTTTTGTTTCTTCTTCCCTCTCCTCTTTTACGCGTACGCCCCACCCCTCGCGTAAAGGAGAGGAAAGTTACCGAGCCTGCCGTAGATGATCGGTGCTTCCACAAACTGTTCAGCTTAGACTTGCTGTTAGATTTTTTTGTTAGTACTGCCCTTTCAACCTCAATTTTCTTGCACTACTGAGAGTCACTGGCCACTTTATTGTTTCACGCTGTTCTTATTTTGAACTTTTTTTTTGCGCACAAGGGTTCAGCGCATATGCATTTAAAGCACCCTTGTAACTATTGTGTTCAGAACGTTTTGTTCTCTATTTCCTCTCGCAGCTTTGAAATAAAACGTGTAGTTTGTTTGTACTCCAAAACACGCAGCACAGTTGGGAGTACTGTGAGCTGACTTTTGGTAACAGTATGTAGACAAAAATGTGCTACATGGAGGGGAACCAACCAAAAGGAAATCCATGGGTTTTTGGTGAAACAGATGCAAGAAGCTCTTTGGAGTGCGTCATCATACATACATCATTTAATGTTTCAAGGGATGGCAGAAAGTTGGACATTACATGTCTGAGTTGGCTTTTACGGTTTTTACGCAAGCTTAACTTGCAAGGATTTTCATACTTTTCTTCTTAATGTTCAGCAGACAGATAATGAGCTCTAACTTCTGAGCAGTTAAAAAAAATTATATCTTATGAAAGCAAACTTATTTATTCCCTATATAAAATGTAGTTTTTTTTTATCTTCTTTTTATTGATAAATGGTAAATGGACTGCACTTATATAGCGCCTTTTTATCTTATCCAAATACTCAAAGCTCTTTACACTACAATCTGTGTCCTCATGTACCCATTCATACATCACTCTATTAGATCTCTACAAAGCTAATTGAACAAATTATTATAAAGAGAATAATCAGAGCTTTATCACATTCATACACTGATGGGACACACATCAGAGGCAATGAAGTGTTTAGTGTCTTTCCCAGGGACACTTCGGCATGTGACTGCTGGTGGATTTGAACCCCCAACTCCTGCAATGGAGGACGACTGCTCTAACCACTCAGCCACAGCCGCCCTTTGGTATCTCATTTTATTATTAATAGCTTTTTCAAATCCTCCAAGAACGCAGAGCAAAGTTCATAGACTAGATATATTTGACTTCAAAAGATTCTCTTTAACACCTTGATTTATTTTAACTTCTAACTCAATCTTAACAAAAATTAAAGAAACAACAACAAAATAATACACTAATTTATACATTAGTCTTCTGCTGCTCAAGAACTTTTTAAGATTTAGCGTAATCGTTTGTTTGAAGCTTACATTTCCAGTCGACTGTACGTTTTTGTCTGCCTCTTGTTAACTTGCCAGTCAGGGAGTGAGATTCATAGGGGTTTGGTTACCATGGTGACCATGCAGAGCTATCTATCTTGGTTGGCATTACACTCTATAAACAGCTTATACAAAACATGTAAGCATTTTTCTTGTTTTTGATTATTAAGTTCAAGTTCAAGTAGGTTTTATTGCCATTTCATCACATGTGGTACATGAGGTGGAATGAAATTGTGTACACAGGGTCCCAGTTACATCCAACAACAGCAAAAATACGGTGTAAAAAGAAACAATAAATAAGGATCTAATACTCTAAATGCTAATAGTGCAACACAATACACCAAACAACAGCAGCTAGAAACATGAGTTTGTGTGAGTAGATGAGTATGAATAAATACAGCAGCATGAAATGATCAGCAGCACGAGATCAGCAGCACGGATAATCAGCAGCGCATATCACCAATCAAAATGACATTACAGTGATTTTTTTTTTTCACAGTGATTATTCTGGTTAGAGATTCACGAGTAATAGCTTCAGGGTAGAAGCTGTTGCTCAGTCTAGTGGTTCTACACTTAATGCTTTGCAACCTCCTGCCTGAGAGGAGTGGGACAAAAAGTGTGTGCTGGGTGAGTGGGGTCCTTCATGATGCAGGTAGCTCTCTTACTGCATCTGGAGATGTATATGTCTGTGAGGGTGGGGAGACTGACTCCAACAGACTTCTGTGCAGCCTTCACCACTCTCTGCAAAGCTTTTCTTTCTGCAGCTGTGCAGCCTCCATGCCACACGTTGATGCTGGAGCACAGGATGTTCTCCACTGCACACCTGTAGAAGGAGGTGAGGATTACAACATTTTGTTGGACGTTTGGTCAGTAGGTTCATGGGAAGCCCTTAAGAATTTTTTTCTAGCTTGTGGCTGCTGGTTCATATATATATATATATATATATATATAT